ATCGGGTTTATCGAGCTAAGAGAGACGTAGGCACCAAATAAAGGGTCCCGTCCCCCCGTCCCCCCGTCCCTGGAGGCGCCGTGTGGAAAGAGACCCCTAACACCGCTAAAGAACCGCCCCGAGAGACTCAGTTGGTGGCGTCCTTGCCTTGAAACCCAAGGGGACAAGAAATATACATAGGCGGGCTCAGCCACAATCAGCCCAATTTATGGTTCCATCCAATCCGTCTACACCTCACAGGCAGTCAGTCAGTGTTTCCTTTCCATTCCCTCCCCACCGGCCGACCAAGCGATCTCCATCTCCATCTCCATCACCATCACCATTTCCAATTCTAATTCCGTTTGCATTGCATTCACATCTTGCACCTTCGAGGCATATTTGCCTCTCTAATTTGGCTCAATCAGTCCTGTCACCTCTTCTCATACGGGCGCGTATTCGCCTGCGTCGCCTTGTGCATCCCCGCTGTTCATCATTTCCCAAAGACCGTGCTGCCTCGACGACAAATCGGCCCAGCCAGTCCTGGCACCGAATCATTGATCTCCCCCCCGCCGCTGCGGATTGCGAAGCTCTCCCCATCAGAACAAGCACACAAAGCTTCATTCGCCAATAGCTGCTCCAACGTTACCGTCACTGTTGTCGCCTTGGCGCAAATCCATTTTGACTTGTTCCTCGCGATTGTCACAGTGCTTATTGCGCTCCAATTCACTGATCCTACCTTAAATTTGCGACGGAACAGTTCCTGCCCAATCTCTACTCCACGACCTGACCAACTCAAGGAATGTGAGCGTCCACTTCAACGAAGCCTGACTCAAACAAACAACTTGGACAGTCCCCGGCATTATAAACTAAATATTCGTGTGGGACACCTTTCCAAATTGACATCAGCATCATGAACGAGTACCACCCGTCGTCGGCGAACGAAGCCTTCTCTCCTTCACAGGAGCGCGACCGATCCGGCAGCATGTCCTTGGGCAATATCCCCTTGAGTCCTCAGGGGCCCCCATCAGATCACGGCGGTGCTGCAGTTGACGACGCCCTGAACAAAGACCAGAAACCTGAGGCCGACACCACATCGCCTACGCAAACATCAGGCCCATCCGGCGTGAATTCCGAACAGATTAAGCAAGTCTCGGACGTTTTGTCTTCCGAGGTATGACATACCCCAGGCAACATGCTTAATGGCAGGATAATGGGCTAACTGTAGTCAACAGATTGGCATTGTTACGCTACTGAATCGCCTCAAACAAAGCATAGCTTCAGCAAAGGTGAGAGACCGACTGGCTTTTGACCAGCTTCCCCACACTCAGGCAACCCAGTTTACTAACTTGGGATTCCAGGAATTTGCGTTGTTCCTCAAGAAACGATCGAGTCTAGAAGAAGACCATGCCAATGGCATCAGGAAACTCACCCGTACTACCCAGGAGGTCATGCGCCGACCCGATCATCGGCAAGGCACATTCGGCAACGCATACGAGGCAATGGCAAGCACCCATGAACGCATGGCCGAGAATGGCATCGAGTTTGCCAAAGAGCTACACCAGATGCATGATGAGCTTATGGAGCTCGCTGGTGTTGCCGAGCGCAGCCGGAAGTCATGGAAACAAAACGGCTTGTCCGCCGAGAACAAAGTGGCAGAGATGGAGCAGACTATGCGTAAGAGCAAGGCCAAGTACGACTCTCTTGCTGAGGATTATGAGCGGGTCAAGACTGGCGAGTCGCGCCAGAGCGGCAAGATGTTTGGCCTCAAGGGACACAAGTCAGCGCAACAGCATGAGGGTGAGCTGCTGAAGAAGGTTCAAGCAGCAGATTCTACCTACCACGGGCACGTCCAGGCGTTGCAGGCTGAGAAGGCCCAACTTGTTTCAACGACACGCCCAGAAGCCATTCGAGCTCTTCAAGACTCGATTAAGGAGATTGATGCAGGAATCTCATTGCAGATGCAGAAGTTTGGTAAGTCTTTTCCCGAGTATTCTGGGTCGTACAATCGCAGCTCATTTGTTATTTAGCCTCCTTCAATGAGCGCCTACTATTAAGCAATGGTCTGAGTGTCAGTCCCATTCAGGGTCCTGGGGCCCAAGGCAGCTCTGCTCAACGCAGTCTGCGACAGGCTGCTTCTTCGATTGATAACGACAAAGACCTAAATGACTATGTCACGGCACAACACAGAAGTGTGCCTCCCAACACTGGTGAAATCAAATATGAGCGCAATCCAGTAAGTGGCTACCTAGTGACAAGTAATCAGTATTGTGACTAACGATTTTAGGCGCTTAACCCTCCGGGCTCCAGCAGCCAGCATAATCCAGGAGGCCCTGTTCAACAACCCGCTACTGTTGTGCAGTCACCAGTATCACAGGCACAGCCCCAAGGTGGTTTCTCCGGACCACAGCCTTTGGGTCCAGGATCAAGGACCAGTACCCTTGGTCTTGGCCCTATTACTGGCGTTACTGGTGGTGACCCTTCATTCCCCCCAACTGACGACCCTCGACCTTTTTCGCAGCCTCATAATAGGAGCTTCAGCCAAGGGAACATGCCAGTGCAACAGGGCACTCCTAGCCAGCAATTTTCAGGTCGGGCCCCCAATCAACAACAGACACCTGGTCAAAGATATGGTAATGGGGGGTCTATCAGTTCATCCGGGCCACCGCAGCTTGGAGCTCTGCCCTTCCAGCCAGGCGGTTCCCCTCCTCAACAGCCAGCTCCTGGCCAAGCTCCTCATGAACGTTCAGGAAGTGGGGTAAACTCGGGACAAGGACCTCCAGGTGCTACACGGTCTCCACCTCCCTACGGAGCTTCTAGTCACCCTCCTCCTGGGCCTGGGCCTTCCGGGCCTGCCAGGCCAATGTTCGGCTTGCCGCTGAGTCGTCTTTATGAACGTGACGGCTTGGCAGTACCAATGGTTGTTTACCAATGCATCCAGGCGGTGGATATGTACGGCCTTAATGTGGAAGGCATATACCGCCAGTCTGGGTCCATGGCACACATACAAAGACTAAAGAATATGTTCGACACAGGTTCGTCATGTTCTACTTGTAGAAAGTACAGAGCTAATGATATAGCAGAGTCATCCAACCCTGCGCTCGATTTTAGGAATCCCGAGAACTTTTATCATGACGTCAATAGTGTTACTGGCCTGTTGAAGCAGTTTTTCCGCGATCTCCCCGACCCGCTACTCACGCTCGAGTATCATGATAGCTTCATCACGGCTGCCAGTACGTGGCTCCAATTCCTCCCTTTCGTGTTTCTACCTCTCCTTGGCAAATACTGACTGATATGCACAGAACAAGAAGACGATACGGTACGTCGCGATTCGATTCACGCCATCATCAACAGTCTTCCTGATCCCAACTACGCTACACTGCGTGCTCTCACTCTTCACCTCTGGAGAGTCATGGACAACAGCCACAATAATCGCATGAACTGCCATAACCTAGCCGTCATTTTTGGCCCGACACTCATGGGCACTGATCCCAGCACCGCCATTGCCGACGCGGGCTGGCAGATCAAGGCCATCGACACCATCCTGCAGAACACGCTCCAAATCTTTGACGAGGATTAAACTTGTATGTAAGCGCCTCGCGTTGGGTAGGGGCATAATATGTAACGCTTTGTTGGAAGAGGCGGAGAGGGATGTTTGTATCTTTCCATGTTGGCTGTTTTTATGTTGCATGGCGTCTCGTATCTAATGCATGTTCGTTTCTTCCTGTGCTTGGAGATTAGTGTAAAACCACTGGGTGGCAAACGTGAGCGCTTTTTTTCTCCTGTGCTTCTTTTCCTCTTGTTCAGTTTAACTCTTATTTGCCCCTTACGTGTGATGGCATTTTTGTATGTGAAAGGTTAGACTCGCAGTTATAAAGAGCAAGCCATTTCACATGGTTTGCTGTAGGGTAGATAATACGACACGGCGTTCTGCAGTCTTCGCATGTAAGACTTTTGAACACAAACGACAGATAATTTGTGCAATGCAGTCACGGTATGGCTGTAAGAAATGGAGTCGATGGTCTGACCCTTTCCCCCGTCACTTGGTTGTGGGAACTACGCTCGGGCGTGTTTTAGATCACTTCACACAGATGATCACAGGTGTTTATTACCTGAGTTTACCTTCAACTTGTGTTCTTCACACTGCGTTGTCTTGCGACCTGAACCAATCTATTACTCAGTTAGATCACAAGGTTCAAGGCAGCAGCTGTGTGACATCATGAAACTTTACATTAAGGCCATTGTTCTTTGGCATAGCGTATGGTGCCCTATATTGTGTATCTTCTTATCTGACACCTGCGGGCTATATCTTGCGTGTTGCTATAGGGACATTATTCTCTTAAAATACATATAAGATTCATGAATACGGTCAGGGATGGAATTTCAGCGTACACAGGAGCGATACTACTAATGATGGTGATATGATGCTAATCAAGTGACTTGATTGAAGTTCTATACTATTCCACTCCAACGAGTAATGTAGATAAATGCAGCGAGCCTTGCGCCCTCTGTTCTCATCAGACACCAACCTTGGTGTCTTTCATACATGATAAATGCTCAAGTCTCGTGCGTGTTATGTGCTCGACATATCATCAGCCGTTTCACCAGTCCTCTTTGTAATCAGCGCCATGCAAAAACACGCAAGCAAACCCCCAAAAAGCAGAAACAAAAAGAAATGCGTCATCTTCCCATAAAAGACAAAATAAAATATTGGACGAGACCATTGATGCACTATGCCCCTTGTAGCCCAGAGTAAACAATACTGAGAATAATATCCGTCTTGCAGTGCACATTATCGCTTATGCCAACATGCCTGAGTTCCGTAACAGGGGTATAGCCGTGAGAAGAAGGAAAAGAAAACTTAGATACAGTCGGGCGCATGATAATGTTGGCGATGGTAATGATGGTGTAGGGAAAAGCCTGAACGCTGTTCGCGTCATGCTGTATGAAGGGTGTCAAGATCTTTGACATCAATAATTTGGTTTGTGGTGATTAGAAGAGACACAAGCCTGTCTTGAACGATCTCACTGAAGCTTGATAGCTTCAAAAAGACCTAGACTTAAGCTTGTATCGTTCTCGCCAACATTGGGAGTCGGCTCACTAAGCACCTCCCAGCGACGGAGAATGAAGGGGCTCAGACGCTCCTGGACTACTGGCCCGATGCCATATTGCGCGCCCATACCACGGGCGGCAGCACTCTGGGGCGTTGCCGCCTTTTCTCGGTGGGAGAGCATAATATTGTCTGACGGGGACGGTGGTGGTGAGCTGAATAAATAGTAAAGTCGAGGGTCAGATGATGTTCCCTGGCTGGGCATCCCGCCTGGAGTTAACAGAATGGCCCTGGCACAGTTGGCTCGCAATTCCTCGGGCAGGGCATCTACCAGGAGGATGGCGATGTCGAAGACCTGCTGGACAAGGGAGCCAACAGTAGCTGGCGGCTGTGTTTCTAAGTCAAGCAGCAGGCCGCAAAGCACAAGAACAATGCGTGCTCGAACATCATGCACGGGTGGGATAGGAGGCCGTGTCGCCGAAGCCGTGGGAAGAGGGGCTGATGGTGGCTCGGACGACAAGCTATGAAGGTTCACAAAGCGAAGCATAGCGGGCAGCCAATGCTGTAAAACGACGGCGTGGCAGTTGGGACGCTCCTGAGGCCCTGCTGCAACGATTTCCCACAGGTCTGTCAGCTTTTCGACCATGCCCAACGATAACTGTGCCATCTTAGGGGGAGCCTGGCCGGAGATAATAGCCTCCACTACTTCTAGCAAGTTCTCGGCCATGCGAAGGGACTGCCGTGACCCAGTGTCGACAAATTCAGGAGCCTTCGATGAAGGGATCAAGTCGAGAAATCCCGTTTGAGCCTGTGTCTTGAGATGCTGGGTAATGTCGTCACTCAAACAAGGTAATAAGCTGGTCCACATGATGTTGCCTGCTTCAATGGCTCGATCCATCGCCCTGGCAAAGATCTCGAAGCGAGAGGAACTCTGATCTTGTCCCTCATTTACGCTGGGCTGTGGCAATGACAGATCCAAGTTAAGCTTCAGCTGGCAGAACGGCAGCGTCAACTCGTTGGCAATCTGCAAGATATGATCGAACGAGATTTGAGTATCGCCCGAGTCTCCAGGAATCAGAAGTTTCGTGGTCACCTTGCGGACGAGACCGACAGCTTCAGCAGGAAGCGCTTTGATGCCTAAAGCATTTGAGACGGCGGAGGAATCCACCAGAACAAGAGTTCGTAAGGTCTCAAGCAGACTTTCCTGGCACTCGATATTGCCAAGGGGAAACTCGGTGCCACAGACATGATTTCTGACAGCCGAGTACTCGAGCAAAGCGTTGCGAACAAGATTCAGCAATCCTTTGGACTGCTCAAATTTGGCGCACTTTTGCTCGGTATGAAAACGGTAGCTTTCCTCAGCCACAAGCCCTGTTCCCTGGGGAAGCGGCATGATGACGAGTTGTAAGAGTTCTTGTAAGTATGTCGTAGGACCTCTGGACGAATCTGGGGTAGGACTCTGGATATTCGCGAACGGAGGGCTTGCGGTGCTCATTATGATAGGCATTGTCAGACACCCTGTAATGATAAGAAGTGGGAACAAAGTAGAAAGGGGGGAGCGGTTCGATATCGAACGAATATGACTTGTCCAGTCGGTCATTAGTTTATCGAAATGGTGAGCATCAAAAACTCGTATTCTCGCGAGCAAAGTTGCCAACACCCGGCGCGTATCGTCCTCCTTCTCCCACCCGCGCTCAAGAGCAGGGATTATCATTCTGAAAAGCTTGTTCATTGTTGGAGGGTCCAATCGTGTTCCACTGGAAAGTGTTTTCTCTACTTCTTCGGCCACATTGTTTTCAGCTTGGTGAGAGGGAGTTGCCACGATGTCGGAAACCGGCGAGCAAGCATCAATAGCGTTGTTGCGATCATTTTGAACGAGTTCTTGGCGAAGTTGGCTGGCAATCACCTCATGACCAGCCATGCGTTGGGCAAGGCTGTCAAGAGCAGCAAGTAGCGGTCGCGGAACTTGTCTTTGCTCCTCGTTCATCATTCTAAGGCGCTCGGTCAGACCGCTAAACAGTTCATCTGCGCTATCCATGGCGTAGAATATTTGCAAGTTTGAATGGACAGTGTCGGCAACGGACGCCAGAACGTCAGAATCGGCGGTCTTCGCGCAAGCTCCAAGAATGTCGGATAACATGGCGTAATCTTCGGTCGTTTCCATAATGTCTCGAACAGCGGTGAACATAGTCAGAGATAAAGAGTGACCTTTCATGAGGAACTGCCCAGTTAGCTCATCACGCAAATGTGCCCCAATGCTGCTCCTTACAGCAGTACTGCTACCGCCGATCCGTTGCAACAGCCTCTTGAGCGACATTGGCTTTCGTCCTGACAACGGATCATTTGACAGTAAGGGGAGCCCCACGACATGTTTCACGACCCTGATGGCATTGGTGATATCTTGTTCCTCCTCAGCGACCGAATAGTTGCCAGCTCGTCTTAATAAGTTGCCTCTTTCAGCCCTTTTCTTCTCAGATAGAGCATGAAGCGGAAGTTCGACCAGTAACCTGCTAGAACACAGACCTGATACCGGGTCGATTTCCGCGGCACAATGATAACCACCACGAGCGATAGTCCACTGCATATATTGAGAGACGGAGAAGTGACCGGTTCGAACGAGCTCCGTAACGAGGTGATATACGAGGTTCTTCCGTGCCTTGTCATTGGGGGCGATGTTGTCGAGTGTCTCGAGAATGGGAGTGGTAGGGTTCACACGAAATTGGCTCCATTGCCGAATTAAGCGGGCTGCGGCATAGACCTTGGCCAAACCTGGACGATGGAACGAAGTTGCCCACTCAACTACTGTCCTCATTATCAAAGCCTTGTTCTCACTCGTTGCCCAGCATGCTGCGGCTAAATGGTTACCGCTAGACTCTTTCAAGGCAGCATCAAGCAACTTGACTAGCTGACTCCGCCCGGCAGGAGGAGAAGCGGTACTAGACACTACCAGGCCTGAGTTTCGTGAATTAATGGCATGCAGTGACTTTCGAGCCTGCTCATCATCAGAACGCAGACAAACATGTAAAGTATCCTTGTACGTTGACCAGGCTCCGGGGTTGATGAAGCTCTCTGGGTTGGAACGAATTAGTGAGCCGAGCAAAGCTGACAGTTTACTGGAGAGTTGCACAAGAAGATCCTTATCAGGGTCGTTGGATATCTGGTCTTACTTAGTCAAACCGTTTGGAAGAAGCGTTGCGTGTGAACCTACCACATGCAAGTGGCTGAGCAGAGCAAAAACAAGCCTGCGACCATACTTGCGTGACCTGAGAAGGTCTTTCCAGTAAATCTGAGCGATGAGAAGCCACATGGGAATACGCGACTGAAGGCTATTCTCAATTCCAGACACAACCCAGTCAAGGTAATGATCTCGATCTAGCAACTGCTCTGAGTAAAGGTTCGTTGCTAAGCGGATGCTGCATGACAGTTAGCTGCCGTGATTCTGGACCAATAAACATGTCAACTTACGCATATGTGACTCGATTCTTCCAGTCGTTCTCACCAAACCCAGCAACAACGGCATCGACAAATTGCTCAACAAAAACGGTCCAGTCGCGAGCCCATTTCAGTTCACCACCCATAACAAAGGCACCATTGACACCCTTCCTCTTCAACCCCCTGATCTCATTGGCACCGACACACTTTGCTAACCAAACAGCTCGTTCGGCGGGAACATTCTTGTTCAGGCATTGATCGAGTAGCGTTCTTCCGCGAATTCCGTGGGGAATTGTTCGGCTGAGGCGTCTTAGAGATATCGCGGGATTCGCAAGGTCCTTGAGCCAAACCTCTCTCTTCGTATCCGTAAGTGTGACTCGAGGCGGTGGTTTGAAAGTCGAGGGCGCATTGATCTGTCCTCTATGTCTGCGCTGAGTCAGAACCCCCATAAAAATAGTAGACAATGCATTCAGGCCAGTCTTTTGCTTCAGAGCTGGGAAGATGGCAAGCTTAGCAGACGAAGTTTCGGGAACATTCAAGTTCACCTTATCCCATGTTCCTTTGGTGATCGCTTCGCTGCTCCACTCGTCTTCATAATGGGCTCCATTCCAGGGGAAGAAATCGGCGTATCCAGAGTTGAGACCTTTGCTGAAAGGGTCGACGGGATTTCGTACTGCGGTTTCGGGTCGATTGGCTGAGAAGTATCGTGGCGCGACGGAGGGAATCTCGACGGTGTATGGTTTTGGCCGGGCATCTTTCTTGGTTGGCGCAGGCCCTGTCGCTGTAATTCGAGGAGCAAATCTCGGCTGTGAAGTTACTGGTCGACGTGTCGGCATCGGCATCAAAGTTGAGCTGGCGCTGTCGGCAGGGCTGCCGACCATAGCTTGAAAGGGATCGGAATTGGGTATTCGCGAGGGTGTAAGAGACTGCGGCGATTCGGATGTAGGTAAGGAACCAGACGAAGCGTTGTGTGACAACTCAAGCCGAAGACGTGAGCCGCCTCTTCTAGGTGTTGTGTGATAACGATTAGGGGTAGCATCGCCGGCGTCGGCGGTTAAATCGATGAAAGAAGCATCTTTTCGAACTGGTGAGGCGGCCGCCATAAACTGCTGCTGATGTGATAATGATCGCTGCGGCGGGGGGCGCTGGACGGGTAACGACGATGAGCTCACGGAACGCTGAGGCGGCCGCGGATGGGCGCCGATTGTGGTCCGCGAGGTCATTTCTGGGTCGTGGGCGGAGGCGCCATTCCGAAAAATCTAAGTAAAGGGATGTGTCGACTTGTGTTGTATGTGATGATGCTGGATAACCGCAGTAAACGCGATTCCTGGGAATGGTACTGTGATGTCCTACAGTATTCGGTGGCGCCTCAATACTCGAAGGTGAAATGGGGTTCAAGGTTTGCGTTCCTATAGTCGCGTTGTCGTTGATACGTGGTTTGATGAGCCAGCCGCGCAACCAGAAGCATAAATGGACAAATAATCAACGTGATTCGGGAACCCGAACTCGATTGTTGACCATGCGTTCTATCATTCCCCTACTATCACAGCCGCCGTTGCCGTTGTTGTTCCGGATCGATAGAATGGAGCCACGCACGCGAATGGCTTCGATTCGGTGGAGTTGGGTTGTTCGAGTCAAAGAGGAGGAAGATACGGATGCACAAACTGGAAAGAATAGTGTCTAGATAGCAAAAGTATGTACACGAGCGGCACGGAACCCCGACCGAGAGCGGCAACTGTCGATGGATGGGTTATGAGATGTACAGATGTGGATGGGGTCAGACGGGGCGAGGTAATGTTAGGTAGGTAGTTGAGTTAGAGCGTTTCTGAGGTGAGGCAAGGCAAGGTTGGCAAGGTACTAACTTAAAAAGGCCCTCAAGAGGAAATATGGAGACGAGACAGGAGTGGAGATGGAGGTAGAAACTACCAACGGAGAGATGGGTAGTGTGCCGCGACAACAGGGCTTTTGCGTCACAGGACCACCTTGGACACTATATCCGCAAAGTACCAATTACATAGCTTCGATAAGTTTTACATGGATCTGCCCTCCCTCCCCCCATCCGGCCTCTCAGCCGTCGCTTGGTCGGTCCCTTGAATCGTTTATTACACGCTGGAACCCTGCCCGGACATTTTGAATTTGGAAAGGGTACGGATAGTTAGGTATTGTTCGTCGGTTGTCTCTTGATTCTCGAGACTGCCCGTGCGGGACCGAGCCGAGCTACGGGCTTAGTAGACTACGGCTATGGCTGCGGATAGGGACCGACGGGGTCTGGGACTGGGGAACCAATTCCATTACATGAGTCTTATTACAGCGCGAGTCTGGAGGATTTTGGACAAGATCGATTGGGGGAGATGCTGGGCGTCGAGTGGCGATACATCATGAGAGATGACTCGTGGCTGGTTTACGATCTTATGCTAACCACTGAGGTTTCCTGAATAACAAGCAACCCTCTTGTTATCCGTACAGTGCTACGTGTTGACTCTCCAAGGGATAAGCGGGTGAATTGCTTGTAACGATTGAGATTGACGGGCGGTTTGAGGTGGAAGCGTTCAGGTCACATCAGAGTGCATAATTATTGTGTTATTCAGGGGTTGCAGTTGGCTACCTACCTGCTTGGCGATCAAATAACATTACAGCGCCCCCCAGCCAAAAGCCATCGACCCCGCTTGGAGGCACACAATCGCGCAGCTTAAGATCTCAGGGAAGCATTTGCCTCGTGGAATGTGCGTTATCTATTGGGTTCTGTACAGTTACACAGCGCTTGTTGGGGGTGACCGATGAGAGGCCTCAGGTGTCGTTTGAATTTGGTAAAATATTGTCAAATTTGCAAGCAGAATACTCGTGCAAGCAAGTACCTTAAGGCTAACAAGTAGGAAAATACATTGTGCTTAACCTGAGCACAATAACGAGTTTCTTTTTCTCAAAGGCTTGTTCCATAGTAGAACCTGGATGTCAGCCATCATTTCTCGAGGTGCTTCCCATGACGGCATTCAGCCGAACGAGAGCGCTTCATTCGATGGTCTCTCACCTTTCCAGCAGCTTTCAGCTCCCCCCTCTCAAACCAAGCCTAAGCGGATGGGACATTCTTATGTCAATCATCAACCGTCACCATTCACTTAGTTTAACCCCCAAGCCAAGCCATTGTAAATAATCGACCGATAGTTCCCCATCCAGAACCTCCATCTAAGAGCATCAGCGGCCAAGCCGTGGTCTGTGTCCCCACCAAACAACTCCTTTGGCTGGCCCTTGCTTCTCTCTTCCCGGCGACATGGGCGTTGGTTGGACTTGGGCTTCCGGGGAGGGAAAAAACACCACATCGGCGCTGACAAACATCAAGATGCCTGCCGCAAGCCACTCGCAAGCCCCGATGGCTGTGTAGCTTCGTGAACGGTAGGTAGATACCCCTCGCCGGTGACTTGATGACTGCCGCTAAATTTAGAGTAAAATTGAATAAGTCTATTCGCTGGGATGATTGGACGAACCTCTGTTGCCTCAGTATGGGACTCTGTTGTGCGGATCATGGGGTTCAACTTCAATATGGTGCTGCCGTTGGCCCATACCAGCCGGTCTTGGCTTGGCTATCATTCGCTTCGCCTAACAGGGTCGTGCGTTTGTGTTGCGGTGTGCCAGTTGATGCGGAGAAGATATCCGTAGATACGGGGTGAGTGTCTTATCAGCTCACATCCAACACCGTCCCATGCAAAGCAAAGCAAGCCTCTTCATGCATGTATCACGGCTAATTTTGCAGCACCAGGTCAAGCCTCCAGACTCTCAAAAACATGTCTGCCAGCTGGTCCGACTTCTTGGAACGGAACATCCTGTCTTTTCCGTCGGGACCCAACCCCGGCCCGAGATCCTTTTACCAACTGACCAGTAGGGGTACTCGTTAGCTGTATGAGCACTTAAAGTCTCCAGCTAGAAACCGGCGATTCTGGAGAGTGAGTAAGGGATAGACTAACGACCTTCAAGAGACAGTGCAACAAACCTTCCTCTTTGGGGGAGACCATTGTGTTGCGGCAATGTTGTTCCGTAAAGAAATGTAGCGAGGCCTTTTCACATGCAGAGTTCCGTGATTCGTTGCACTGAGCCGTTCTCATGTCTCTTTATCCATCCATATTGTACTGTAGATCCTTTGTACATGCTTGTGCCCCTGTACGAAACGGTACCATGAGAATCATGTGTGGCTGAGGGTTCCAGAGACACCTTGCTGTGATATGCGAAGACCGACAGAATAACTTCATCTTCACAGTAGCCCGAGATTCTGTTAGCTACCGACACTAGGCTACGTTAGCTCATCCCGCGTTTCTCACACAATATTGACGCATATTTTCCCCACAAGCATGCAGTTCCCAGTCTACATACATGCACCTAATCAGAACTCACGGGTAACGCAGGGTATCGGATCGGCCGTGGCCCGCCGGATCAATCCGTGCGACTATGTATGTACATCGTGCAACCCACGACTATCGCCATCCCTTGCACCAGTTAAGAAGAGGCATGACATCTTTGCCCGTCCCTCCCAAATGCAGTCAAGTGCACGGTCACGTTGGGGAGGAAGAGCGACACATTGAGTTGTTTGTGATGGTACACGGATCGTCACGGGCTCGGAGGTCAAACAGCTATGTATGAGCCCAGTCCCAGATCATTGGAGGTGGTAACTGGTGGCCACACCACAATTGCCAAGCCTAGCGACGCGGCTTGCGCCAAACGTGGGCGCTGTGTAAGACAAACACGCTCGTATCTCATTGCCAATCCCGTCGAACCGTAGCACGGCCGAAATGCATTTCAAGTGAGACAACATGTCTCCAAAATGTTCAAAATGTGGATTCGGTTATCTGCGTGCCGTATTCAAGGAATCTGCCTGAGAGTACAAGTTGTCATCTCAAGAGACCCAGGGACAAGGAAAATGTTATACAAGAAAGGCTGATGCTGCCCTACCAGATGATTGCAGTCCCGGCTTATGTAAAATCGACTCCTCCTATGTAAACAATTGCGGCCGCCATCAAGTACCTAGGTATGGCACTACTCCGTATGTTCGTCGCAAACACACATGCAAAAGAATGTCCCCGCCCTCATATTGTATCGTCTCAAACGGAAAGACAAGAAGGGGAAAAGAAACAAGTGCGCCCATTTGGATCAGGCGATGTCACTATTACAGCTCTGCAGCATTAACTGACCACTCACTCCAACCTCTCTCCTCGCCGGGAAGCTTGATGCTCTCCCATTCATCTCTGGTAACGCTCTTCCACTCATCAACTGGCAGCCAGCCGATTCGGGCGCGGTCGCCAAAGCCGCCAACCTGTTAGGCCAAGCCAATATTAGCCAGTCATATACCGTAGGAAGACTTTGCTACAACAAACCCAGTAGATCTTGGTTACGACCAGACGCACCCAAGCGCTCTCATGGATCACATTGCCAGGCAGCCAATACTTGGCGTCCTGGTGCTTGCGTGTGAAGCATGCCGCAAGTTTCAGCGCTGATACCGGTGTGGTCTCGATGGGCTCAAGATACCCAAAGAGAGCAAAACGTGGCAAGTTGGCCGCAGAGTAAGGGACAGTGTCCGGCACGGAGAGCGACTCCTCCAAACGACTATTGTAATCGTGACTGGAGAGGAAGGGAATATACGCCGAGAGTCGTGATAGAAGGGAAATACGCTTAGCGGGCGGATAGGGTGGAACCCAGTTCATGGAGAGGGTAAGGTTTGATCCAGCCCGAACGTTCCTAAACGTTGTTGCTATCTTGATCTCGAGAATGGTAGGGTTGCCTTCATCCTCACAGTCCGCCACATAGTCCATCATTCCGATAGGGACGCCCTCGAGTCCACTACCGTCGGACTCGAGTTCTTTATTAGATCGACCAGAAGGGAAGACTGTCGAGAGCGTCGCAAGCTTGGTAAGAGCAAGGATGCGGCGCGCCATGACAACGGACTCATGGACTGTTGGGATCTTATGAGGAGCATTTGTATCGGCGTTATCGTTGTCGCCAAAGATATTGGACATCGGCGTGAAAGCCTGCGCCGTGGCAGCAAAGCCTCCTATGACATGAGAGAACTTCATGATGTCGTTTTTGACCGTATCGCGTAGGCAGAATCGATGACACTGAGAGGCTGACGAGAAAGTTGACCTGTAATGCGCAGGACAAGGTTAACCAAGAATGAGAACACGGGCAGGAAGAAGGTGGCAGAGGTAAACCAGGCGAGGCGGTGGGAAATCCGATGGCTTTT